ATATTTCCCAAATATCCCGACGCTCAATTTCCATCCTGAAAATCTTCCATCGCTTCCACCATCTCCTACCCATGTCCACATGTAGATTCCTAGTATCCACCCTCATCTTCCCCCACCTTGACTACGGCTGCGTAGTGTACGGTGGCCTCTCATCGAAACTTGGAGACAGATTGAAAAGAATTATGAATGGCTTGGTAAGATTTGTCAATGGAACCCCGAGACGTTCTCGTGTATCTCATTACTAGGTGCATTCCTCTACCAAATAATCCATAATCATCGTCCGTCCTACTCATTCAATCTCCTTCAATTCAAGTCATCTATCCACTCCCTCTCCACAAGATCTCGTCCTTCTGACCTTTATACCCCTTTCCACAAATCTGCCTCCTTTCAACACTCCTTTATTGTCCGCTTCACTACCTTTTGGAATTCCATCCCATTTAAAATCCGTCATGCACCATCCCTATCCATATTTAAAACCCTCCTATTCCAATTCCTCCTTACAATTCAATCAGAAGCTGGGTAGCCATTTATCATGTAACAAAATTGCATTTTTCTCTATTTATCATTAGTATATAAATATATATTCTTTTTTGAGCATGGAAAAGATGTCTAGTCACGTTCTGTAATGTAAATGGGTAAATACTTCTGCTATCTCTTAGTTTTTAGTTATTTTTTTTATTGTAATATGTATTTTGGCCAGATGGAATGTTAATTTTATATATATATATATATATATATATATATATATATATATATAAAATTAACATATAAGTAGTATAAACACTACTTATTAACAATGTTAAGAATATCTATCTATCTGTATATATATATATATATATATATATATATATATATATATATATATATATATATATATATATACAATACTTATGATACAGTATATTGCAATATTTTTTACTAATGGATGAATTGAATTTTTTTTTTCTTCTCTCTCTCCCTATATATATATATATATATATATATATATATATATATATACAGATAGATAGATATGCTTAACATTGTTAATAAGTAGTGTTTATACTTTAGCTGCATGTATTGTTAGGGATTAGATGAGCGCCCTATCCTAATTCTATTCTGGTCTAGCTAACATCCTCAGTAGGACCCTCTACAAGATTTCTTTTTTTTTTTTTTTTTTTTTTTTTGCATTAAGTGGTGCTAGTGTATTTTCTTTCTGCTTTTCTTTCTCTCCCACATTTGGGACATGGTATCATCTTCCAGGAGGACATCCGTCAAGTTGCACCAGTGCAACCCTAAAGCACAAGTAAGATTGCTGGTCCTCTTCATCAAGAGACATTTAAAAGGGTGAGTGACATTTTTTCATATAATGTGATTCCCTAGGCCTCACATTTAACCGTTGCCTTACAGGACATTGAGTCTTCTTTAAAATATATCCACTTTAAGCTGGACTTTGCAGTGGTCATGCTCATCAATACCAAGTACATTTATATTGTAGTGGCTAACGTATAATATTCTTATAGACAGGGTCCTCAGTTCGATACTGGGTGTTCTTAGATTTCTTTTTTTTTTTTTTAAATAAGAATATAATTTTTTATCATGTTTAAATTTATAATATACCAGAGTTCCAAGTGTAATGGTCGCAACTATAATTCAATGCTTGCATCGCTCTATCTTTGTTGCCCTGTCATCTATAAAAACTGCTGCTTTAAGTTGTTAACAGTGAGTTTGTGAACAATTGAACACTTTAACATTGAAATAGCGAGGTGATAGACCTTTATTAACTATTAACTAGGTATAAACTGATACCAGTTTTATAGAGACAGCACAGCTGATCAGTAATTCCCTAGCGGGTCTTGCTTTATCTACGTAATATTCACGGCCAAGACGCTCTGTGTATAAACATTATTTTCTTAACATGGTATCGAATTCTAACCTAAGTACATAAGATTTCTTTATCTTTCTCTTTTTAATTATTTATTTTTCTTAGATACTTTTATTTTTATTTATGTATATTAAGAATGTTTTATTTAATTTTTGTAAATAATTTACATTTGAAGAATTTAATGTATAAAGTTCAATTTTAATTTTCAATTAGACCATAAATCTTATTTTTTATTTTATTTTTTTCACCACTCCAAGTTTAAAAACTTTAATCTTCCACTTCTTACTGATGCTCAAACCTGCACCAAATCTGACGAAGAGAAATCACTCATTTTTGCCTGCCATCTCTTCAAAACCTTCAATCCACACCCTGATATCCTTAATCCTAATCACCTTGAGTGTATTGAAGCAGAATTGGATGTTTCTCTCCAAATGGCTCCTCCACCTAAAGCATTTCATCCTTCAGAAATAGCCAATATCATTCACAGATTACCATCCCACAAAGCTCCTGGCCACGACCTAATCACATCCCAGATATTAAAACTGCTTCCTTGGAAAGCTATCCTATTCCTTACCTACATATATAATGCTGTACTCTGATTCACATATTTTCCTGACCCCTGGAAACTATCTATTGTTAAAATGATACACAAACCCAAAAAGCCACCCGAACACCCATCCTCTTACCGTCCTATCTCTCTGTTACCTATCATAGGCAAAATCCTGGAAAAACTCATCCTAAAACGCCTGTACCCCATTCTTGATTATAATCATATAATCCCTGATCACCAATTTGGATTCTGCACTACCCATTCCACTATCCAGCAATGCCATCGAGTGGTTGACACAGTCTCCTTTGCATTGGAGCACAGAATGTACTGCACGAGAGTCTTTCTCGACCTTGGGCAGGCGTTTGATAGAGTCTGGCACCCAGGGCTGCTGTACAAACTCCGTAAATTTCTACCACCTACATACTTACTCATTATTCGTTCCTATCTTACTAATAGATATGTCAAAGTAAATCACAACAATGCCTATTCATCCCTCTTTTCCCAGTTAGCTGGTGTTCCTCAAGGAAGTATCCTAGGTCCTATTCTTTACACAGTATATACAGCTGACATCCCAACCCATCCAAACACTGTTATTACAACCTATGCCGATGACAGATGTGTCTTATCAGTTCATAACAACCCAACGATTGCATTCCAAACCCTTCCATCCCACATCACAATTCTCGAAGAATGGTGTCAAAACTGGAGAATTAAAATAAATTCCAATAAATCCCATCAAATTACCTTCACCCTTCGTCGTAAACCAATGACTTCCTGTCCTTCAGTATCCTTTAACAACACCTCACCTATTTCTGTTGAACAAATCCGTTACCTAGGACTCCATCTGGACAAACGTCTAACTTGGAATCCTCATACCAGACTGAAACGACAAGAAACAGCTCGACGTTTCCGACTACTTCAGCACTTATTAGACAAACGCTCTAACCTTTATGTATTACAAAAGATTGATATACATGACCATAATAAGACCTATTTGAAATTACAGAGTTGAGCTTTGGGGCTCCACTAAACCATCGAATTTCTATCGTATCCAATCTTTAGAATCCAAAATCCTTAATGCTCCTTACTTGTAACAAATAAAATAATCCATAATGACCTGAATGTTCCAAATGTTTCCGAATTGGCCCAATCCAGATATCTATCCTTCCATAATAAACTTCAGAACCATTCTAATCCTCTCGTTTTTAACCTTGCTTCCTCCTCGATCCCTGATAACCCTCCTAGGCGTCTGGAAAGAAAATGGCCTTGTGATCTCCTAATTTAGGTACTTTATTAGATTGCTACCAATGGGTAGATTTTCTATAAGCCTTGTCATTTCATATATTTCTTTGTATCACATTTGCTGAATGTATATTAATTTGTGCAGTTGTAAATTTCATAAATAAATAAAAATAGAATAATATACCAATATATTATTTTTAAAATGTTAAATTTGTTTATAGATTAAATTAATTTCCAAAACACAATTAAAATTTATAATTGTTCATCATTCATATAAATAGTATGAATTTATTAATTATGTAGATCTATGAATTTATATCTGTCTAGTTTACAACTATGATTTCAGTTGAAAAGCTGTTTTTTGTTTCTTTTATTATTATTATTATTTTAAGGAAATTGAAATTGCTTTAATTTATTATTATAGTTTTCTGTAGCATGTAATGGTTAATTATTTTTTTATATATATATATATATATAATTTTATTTGGTGTGAAATATCAAATTTCTTTAATAAATCTTATATTATTGACTGTTATTCGACATTTTTTTCCTTTTTTTTTTACATATCTATTTTATATTAATCAATTAGCAAAAGCACCAGTACCTACGGAAAAGGTTCGGAGATTCGGTGCTATTGAACACCTGCCACCACCACAATAAGCAAATAGGGCTCTTATGCAAAGTACGGGCATCATTGATTCAAGAGTGATTAACTGGTTCAATTTTAACAATAATGGAAACAGAAATATATTTGCAATATACACATTGGAGCCATGCAATCTATTATTTCTTTCCAAATCCCCTCAAAAAGATCTTTGTTATATTTCTGCCACCGCATAAATAGGAGTCAAGAGAACTTCTACTGATCCCACATTCTATTTTGTTACGCCTTTTAGCAAGAGTCCACATACCTTGTGTAGGATTGGTGTGAGCTCCTGTTTCTGGATCATAAAAGTTCTCCTTATGGCTTACAGTTTGGTTTTTAATCTATAATCAGAAATGTTAGGTATACTACTGTAGTTTCTCCGACAGAAATAATGAGGGTTCCAGACCTTACTCACTTTTTCCATTTCTTTCCAAATCCTGTAAATAATGTAGGTGATTTGGTAACTTAAATCAGATAAAGATAACTACTTAAATCACTGGTGCCCTGATTCTGCATAACACCCGCAAATACTGGTTTACCAATGTAGCTTTCATTTAAAATATTTATATGATTTTTCAGATGTGTTTATTGTTCCTTTAATGCAGTTTAGTTATCATGAGCATTATTATAATACATTCAAAGTGTAAGATTTGTAATACATCATTTGAAAATAATTTGAAACAAAATTTTGTTTTCAGGCTCGTGAACATAAGAAAGCTAAAACAGTATTGCGATTATTAACTGAAAAAGTAGATGTGTTACCATCTCTTCCGATGCCTCAGACATGAAAATTGAAAGGGTAATGGAGATTATTGATGAATATAGAATGATCATTTAACTATTCTAGAATTATTAATAAAAGGACACTCTCTCTAGTGATAATTGTGTGAAATATTTATTAAAAGTTTACATTTTACTTCTATGTGAAGTATGTATTTTTCCTAATTAATATATTTCAGTAGAATATAATGTTAATTTGTATGTTAACATATTTAAAGTTATTTCAAAAGGCTTATTTTTGGTTTACAGGCAGGAAGAGGAATAATTTAGTAAAGTAAAAACAAAATTATTTAGAAGGAAAATGTGACAAGAAAAGGTGAACCAAATGGACTTAGTACCTGATCATTATTTTATGGGAGCTTTGTTTTCTACTTAAGCCATGATAATGTATTTTATATTCTCATTAAAATTAGTTGCAAAGTGATATAGTCTAAAGTTTAGTCAAATTATTTTTTCTAGAATAGCACTCACAATTACCTACCTTATTGGGACTATTTAAAACATTATTCCTGTTATCAAATTTATTTATATTTTTGTTATATGATCATTATAATGCATTTAAATTTCTGTTCAGTTTCTGAGTTTTTCTTAACAAATTTCTTAAATCAAATATATGTTGATTACTCAGAAGTTACCATTTATTTCACGTAGTATTTTTAATTAGTGACTGTGTTTAATGTTTGTTATGACTTACATGATTATTAATATCTGTCAATCTTGAAAAATTAAGTTCAGCTACCAATGGCCTTAAGACATTATTTAAATTGTTTTACAATTTTCATTTTTATAACTATTTTGATGTACTTCAACAGAGGTTTATTAATTTAAATACATTATATGAGAAGGAGTTGGTCGGAGAGTGCGGTCAAATAAATACTAAATTTTAAATTATAGTATTTTTAATTATTATGCCTAATAATTACGCCGAGGCGTAATAATTAAAAATACTATATTTTAAAATTTAGTATTTATTTGACCGCACCCCTGATCAACTCCTTCTCATATGATATCACGGTCAACCATCTCTACATCATTATAAATATATTATATTATGAAGTATTACTTCTTTTTTAAATTATTTGATTAGAGTCTATAATATCTATTGTTGATGTATATTTATTCATTAAGCATGTGATATTAACAGATTTAAATATATTTTAGTTGAATGTATATTTTATGCAAAGTTTATTTTTATTATTATATTGAAAATCTAATATTTATTAAAAAATATTTTAATTTACCCATTTATGAAAACATTTTATTATATTAAACTATAGTAAGTGATATCACAAATAATGAATGACCTGTATACCTTGTTATGGCCAAATATATTCTATTTTATTGTATTGTTCGTTTTTTGTAATCTTTTACTTTTTTCATGTATTCATTTATAACTTTTCCCTTTAAATAGTTTTTTTTACTTAAATTCTAGTAGGGCTGATGGTTTAGTGTAGAGGACTTTAACCTACGGTCTGCGGGCCGGAACTGATCCGTAGGCGCCTCCAATTTGTGTTTGAAATTGAGTAAATCATTCAAACACAAGATAACTACAACATTTATTGCACGAGATGTTTCTCTTAGACAGCTTATTTAATAACTGGAAGTGTCATTTATAGAACAATTTTTTTTTTTTTTTTTATCACAAGCTATGGCCAGCAGAACTTATTAGAGGTCTCAATGTGGCCTGTGAGACTAAGTGGAGTTCTCAAAGTGGCACACAGACCAAAAAGTTAAGCGACCCATGGTTTAGTGTAAAACTAAAAATACTTTAATTCGGTCTGTTGGAAAACGTGGAAGAACAAAACTGCGCCAGCAGGGTGTTGGATTTACATCCATAATTTTTCATTGTTTTATATATTAAGTCCTCTACGGAGTGCCGGATCGCATAACGTCGGACGGAGGGAGTTCTACAACGTTACTATACGAGAGGAAGCTAAGTGATTAGATATAGCTTGGCAATTCAACACACCGGGATATCCAAAGAGCAGGGTAAGTATCGTAAGGTTGCATAGCACCCTAAGTGATCATCTACGTATTTACCAAGGGGAACAGAGATTAGAAGCGGACGTAGCCATGAACAGGGCAGTGGCAGCCTACAACCATTCGATCCACTCAGTTACGGGGTTTTCTCCGGTCGAGGTACTGTTCGGGGTAAATATACGGCGACGATACTGGAAGGAAACGGTCACGAACGAAGAACAAGCTCAACAGATAACCTGTAACAGAGCGGAGATAAAGAGAGTTTGCGAAAAAACAAAAGGGAAGATAGAGAGAAAGAAACAGAAAAAGGTGGAGAAGGTCAATTTGAACCTCAAAGATAGAATGAGGGAATAGAAAATAGAGACAATAGTCTATCGTAGGGTCGGATCTAATAGGGGTAAGGAACTGGTACGCTACGATGGACCATTCAAAGTGATTATACTTCGCGAGCACAATATTTGTACGATCCAGAGTGTGAACGATCCCAGAAAATGGAGGACCGTTCACATAGAGCAATTGAAACTCCCAATAGAGGCGGAGTCACCAAAGTAAATGAGCAGTGTATCCTCTTTTCTGTCTCCTACGAACTAGGGACAGACGTTGGAAGGTTTAATTGTGTTTTTTTTTGTTTCGCTGGAATACTTTGTAAAATCAGAATGTGTTTAATTTTGTTTTATTGCTGTTAATATTACTATTATAGGAACTCTAAAGGAAGGTTATTGTTTTTTTTGTTTGTTTTTGGTTTGATTGTCTGATATTATGTTGGTGAACCTGCGTTAGTTTATGAGGAATATTCATAAACTGGCGGGGGGGGGGGGGAAGTTATGGTTAGAGGTAATACTGTACAATAGTTAATCCTATTCATAAGATGTAACCAAGACATAATACTATATATATATATATATATATATATATATATATATATATATATATATATATATATATATATATATATATATATATATATATATAGCATTACTGGGAAAATAAAGGCAGTCTTTATCGAGCAACCGAGTGAGTCATTTCATATCCTTCTTTTTTTCTTCTTTTCTTTTCTTTCTTTTTTTTTATCATTTTCTGTTCGGACGATCGTAAGTCATATATATATATATTTTTATATATAGCTTTCTCTTAATCTATATATATAAAAATGAATGTATGTCTGTCTGTCCATCTGTTTGTCCTTAGTGCATTACTAAACCATTCAACCGATCGCCATGAAACTTTGGGAAGTTGTTCCGTACACTCCTGGGAAGGTTTCTGGCATAGTACTTCTGTCTTACGATAATTTTATATATGTAAAAAAAAATAAAAATGTAAATGTTTTTCTGTTCAAAACCGCAAAAAAATGTGTCGCTATAAACTGTAGTGCCAAAACGGCTTTACCGATTTTAACGAAACTTGGCTAAAGTCTTCCCCTTGAAACCCTTTTAATTTATGTGTATAACATACTTTCCCGAAAACAAGCTGAAAAATGTTACGATGAATTCAATATTTTATTTGACGATAACTAAAAAAGTACACAATTTTTGACTGATAATACCCATATTTATATGAAAGATTTCTGAATTGCTGACAAAATAAAAAAAAAATCATCGAAATCGGACGGTTCGTTGCAGAGTTATTGAGTTTTAAACATTTACTGCTTTCTCTTCAGAAAAGGCCGTTTCCTTTTGCTTCCTCACTACCGAACGTCGGCAAGCATTTTTTTTTTTTTTTATTGATTAATCGAAAATTTTATAATTACTACAGTAATTGAAATTATCATTTGAAGAATTTATATGATTCTCCTTATGTAGGTCAATACTATTATACGTTTTTTTAATTTAGTTTTATAAGTTCAACTCAGACTGTTTCTGATGATTATGAATGACGGCGTATTTACTTAGATGATTATGAATGTTAAATTTGAATCATGAGAAAAAAAAAACAATTAGAATTAGTTTCAAACACGGGCGGATCTACGGGGGGAGTGCTTTCGGGCTGAAGTCCCCCCCCCAAAAATAGTAAAATATAACCACGTTTTATCGAAAAAAATATTAAAAAAGTATCTCTTAAAGTATTATTTTTCGTGTGATTAATATTAAAGGGGCTTTAGGAATCACTTAAACACCATTTCATACAGGTTGTTAGTTTCTTTCTTTTTTTCTAAAGCAATTGTCGTTATTTTTATGAAAAAAAAGCTTTCGGGCTGAAGCCTCCCCCAAAATTAAATCCTGGATCCGCTAGTGGTTTCAAATGAAGCCATTTTACAGACAAATTTGTTTCTCAACTTTTTAAAAATGACAGATGTCCTTTGCTACTAATCTACTCATATGTGCTTTCTATTTTCTTTCTTTTTCATTTTGCCAGGCTAAGCCACAGCAGCGCGTGGCTGGGTAAAGCTAGTTTAATATAAAATAAAGTAGTAACAGATATAAATAATAAATTTATGAAAAATTTATTGGTAGCGGCAATAATTCTAGTTAATGTTTGTTCTCATTAATAATTGATACTCATTTTAAAAAAAATTATCTAAGAAATAAAGACTAAATCCTAACCCTTATGTAGTTGCACCCTTGCAAATAACTAGCACACCTTCTGGCTACGCCAAAAAAAGTACTGAAAAATATTCTTTCCTAGAAGAAGATGGTACGAACAGTTCTTTTTCATAAACTTGCGCGTTCATGAACTACATATTACTATCCTTAAAGACTCGTTCTTGATTGACGAGTTAACTATTGGAGCCGGTAGCGAAATAAGTACGATTTCTGTATTGGGTTAAAGATTTAATTGTTTCCTCAAGTGTTATTCGTGTTATCTATCATTGAAGATGGATTGCTTTCTCGACGCCCATTATTTTTCATTGCCTACTCAGGGTAATATATACTCTGTAGTCAACTTGGAACAAAGCAATGGGAAGAACAAAACACTTGTTGCTACCCTCAAACGAAAGATTTATTCTTGTGAGTTTTTTGAAGAGAATAATATTCTCTTGCCTGTTATAAAAGAAGTCCCTTTCACATATATTCCCAGTAAGCCTCTATACTTTATAATTCCTTTGTTAAATTTTATAAATCAATGTTTTAGACCTTTCCTTTGGAAGTGATAATTTGCTTTATTTAGTCAGAAATTATATTAATGTAGGAATTTCTTTATTGGTACTGATGTTTTGACCGAAGCTTTGTTGGTATCATCAGGGCTATAATTAAATCAGACATATAGGAGATAATTTATGAGTGAAGTATAAAGTAGTGAATATATAACAAAATTGAACAAGATATATCGTAAAGATAAGTTAAATGGTAAGAAAACAAATAATACTAGAGAGGCTAATGATAAGACTACATGAAATGTCCAAGGGATTTTAAAACTATAATTTATACATTATAATAATAGTGTAAAATGAGAATTAATAATGGACGGACTTTAAATAAATATTTTGAAAACTGAAAAATAAGTTTATAAATATTATTTTCTCCTTTGTTATTTATTTAATATTTTCTCAGTATTAAACGCATATCTTATCTTTCAGATTTCATTTTAGCCTTGATGGTTTCCTTCAAACTTGGTTCAAAACGTTCCCATCTGTAGTAAAAAATATGATATTAATTCCTGACTATTTATCATCTACACTAACCTAATAATTAACTATAAATTACTCTATTTTAGCTGGTGCAGAAATAATTTCTATAGATGCATTCAATAGATCAAAAACTCGTGACGACTTTTTTATTGGAATCACTATTATCAAGGTAAAAATTTGGAATTTCCATCTGAATATGGATATAAACATGTTCTGTTTTAAATCTCTTAAGTTGTTTCTTAATTCATTGACCTAACAATACAACAGTTTATGTGAGTATCTTATTACAGTTAATTGTTTTAATTTCTTATGGACATTGGTACCTAATGTTATTATATTATTGTTTCTAGATATATTGTATTTTCAATATTATTCTTCAAAATTAAAAAATAACTTTATGCATGAAAAAAAAAATTGAATGAATTGCTTGACAAACTCTAGCTTGCGATCTCCTATTAATATTGTAATTTTTTGGTTTTTGCTATAAAAACTACATCACTTAAAAAAAAAAAGTTATGTGGAGTTCGCCAAGAAAGTTCGCCTAGGGTTACCAAGTTTGAAGTGTTCCGGTCCCAATTTAGTTTTTCACCCATACCCAAATTCTTCGAAATATTAGTAGTTCTCTTCTTTTATGAGGAGGAAATCACTTTCAATGACAATATATATTCCTGTTTCCCTACTTGGTGTGTTTCTTAGCCTCTTAAATACAATGCAGGTCATTACTCTATGTTTGACAGTTTCTGGAACGCTGCAACTGGCACATGAAGGGTTGACATTCTTGCCAAAACTGTGCAGTTAGGCTCAAAAGCCTCAAGAGGCCGTTAGGACTTGCGAAATTCTGTAGTCCGGGAGTACCCATTTCGCTGTTAATCTTGAGTGCACTTTCCGAAAGAAAGAACTTCCTTAACGTTGCCTATTTCGGTGTTGTCTGCCATCGTTTGGTACAGAAAGGTGGCTAGGAAGTACTGACGCTATAGGATGGGTAAAGCCACCTCAACTTAGTGTAATACTGGGTAATATGCGTATCCCTTGAGATTCCGAAAGCAAATTGTAGTGCACAATTCATTAGGCGTTTAAGTTTAAGTTAACAATAAGTTGTACAATAAAGTCTCAAGTGATTCATCGAAAGGAATTCTAGGAGGGCGATATATGACAGCAAACAGAATGGCAGATGAGATTGTGAGGATTTCGGCGAAAAGGTATTCAACGTGCGGAGAATCGGTTATGGAAGAGCAGTGAAGGATTTTGGATTTGAGACTGTCATGGACAAAGAGACCTACTCCACCACCCGTGCGATCTACTCTGTCATGACGAAGGAGAGTATAGTTAGGTGGAAGGATCTGGGAAGACAGGATTGTGGGTTTCAGCCAGGTTTCGGATACGGCAATTACATGGTAGAAGTTATGGAGAAAAAAGTCGTAAAATTCATCAAAATGGGCTAGGAGTGATTGAGCGTTGACATGGCATGTTAAAAGGATATTAGTCATGAAAGAAGGAGGAGTGGCTTGGTTATCGGACAGATGAACTTAGGAATAGGAATATTTCTACAGTAGCTAGAGCCTATATGAGCCCAGAGAACATAACTATTGATAACATCTCTATTGAGAGGAACAATAAATATGCAAGATTTCCTAGATATTAATAATGATGGAAACCAAAAAATATAAAATTTAGTTTATGATGAGGTGCTTTGGGAAGTGATCTGACAACAGCTATTAATGACCTTGAAATATTGGCCATTGCTCCTTTCTGCCGAAATCCTATCCCCCCTAAATCTATTTCATCAAGTAATTGTCCAAAAAACATAAGCATGTTCACATAACAGTCTTAAGTAACTGTTGTAGTCTGCTACTTATCCTTAAGAAACCATGGGCCGATAATCCCAACTGATGAAATTGTGCCCCAAACAATGTTTCTTTGAACATTGTGACCCACAGAAAAATTGATTTCCACTCTGGGAAAGGACCCAATGGCTGAGCCCTTATTTCAGAAATGGAAGTTGGATTTACGGTAGACAAGCTTGGGTATCCCCTTAATGGACATCTCTCATTGACTTGGAGCTTTCTTGCCGATCTATCTGTGTTTGACACATTCAAGGTTGGTGGTCATGGTGATTTTTAGCAATGTAAACAGAATTTGAGGAATCCAAAATTCTCTGAGTACATTATAGAGCTTTCCGATTGATATTATCTTCTGCTGCTTTATAATCTAAGAAAAGGCTTTGTTGTGATATGAAACTCTCGACTCTTCTCTATTATTGTCCTCAGGCTAAATATTTGGTCTGTTGTAGATTTTCCTAATTGTTTAAAATTTTTATAATTGCTTAATAGATAGCTTTTTTGTTATGACAAGAACCCTAAAAATATTTGTAAATACAGTGAAACTTCTCTTAGCAGACACTTCTTGATTGAACGCTCTTAGCAGACACTGGTGCAGATTTATCTTAATAGCTGACTAATATGTTAATCCCATCTAATTTTAATCATGTATTTAAGTAAATATATTCTCTACTACAAACACAAATAGGCATGATATAACAAGCATTTTGACTGAAAAGTTTCTCATTAGTGGACAGCAGAGAGCCAGTTTGGTTCATTTTTGGGAACTTTAATTCTATTTATAATCACTTATATATTATTTATAATTAGGTCCCGGGAGTTTGTGGTGGTAGTTGGGTTTATAGGAAAGAATCTATAGTTAATACTTTAAAAAAAATAATCTTTTCGGATTTTTCAGATGATGTCATTGAAAATATGGCTACTCTTAACCAGAGTGTGAAGGTCGAGTTTCATTCCACGGGTCTGTCACGAAACAAAAGTCAATTCCACCCAGGCCGCATTTAAACCAGGGATCGCCCCTTCCAATAAAAGTAGAGAGGGGGTGAGAATATCGTTTCGCCTCCTCCCCAATATTTTAAAGATCAAAAAAAAAAAAAAAAAATGCATAATAATTGAGGCATTGACATGAAAAAGATAGTAAGTCATGAAAAGGTTATTTTACTGGAGAATCAAAAAACTGTTTGCACACTTTTGACACTTTTCTTTTAAACTTTAATCTTTTATTATTTAGATTTTATTTTGCTTCTGTTTATTTTATATTTTGTGTGGATTTAGTCTTACTTCACTATAATTATTGTCTAAGTGACAGAATATTATATTACTCAATAAATAAATTTTAAAAAAGCCGTTCATAGAAACTAAACCACTCCCAGTTTGACTTAATCCTCTGTCTACCCCATTGGCATGGCTAATTACTACCTTTTCCATGTCAACACCTCAATTAATCTACATGTATGAATAAAATGTATATACTAAATAAATTAAGAAAATAGGATAAGTTGACTAAACTAAAAGTCCGAGAGCTCTTGCTTAACGCCTAGAAGTAAGTATGCAAGTACTTTACCACATCCTTGATTAGAATTTTAATTTATGTACAAAGAAATTTTTATGTAGCAATATATCCTAGGATTTCATGATTCATTCATGTGCACTCTTCCATTTGAAGCATTGTAAAATTGAAAGTTCATTTCACTATCTCAAACCTTTAAATAAATATTTCATACATATTTTCAAATGTACCCATACGCAAAAAAACAAAACTACTACTAATATATAAACATAGTATAATAATAATAATACTTTATTTATTCTGGGACGAGTCTCTTTAGAATAATACAGGAAGACAGAAATGAGGGCTAAGAAGCCTCAGAGATACATAAATAAAAATACAGAGTAATTAAACAGTCTTGGTGAAAAAAAAAAATATATATATATATATATATATATATATATATATATATATATACACACACATATACTTATAAGTTGCTTTCCAATTTTGATCAGTTGATAATAAAAAAAATTAAAAAAATAGATAAACAAAAATTGGAGTACAAATAATGAAGAACGAACTAATAATTTATGTACATATTTTCAGTAGTATCTATTTACGATTTTATGGGGACTGGATGGATAAGAAATGATTGAACAGGCTGGATTTAAAGGTAGGAAGGGTAGTAGATTGACGGATATGGGAAGGGATGGAGTTCCATAGAGATGAGGATCGGATAATGAACGATTTGTCGAAAGCAGCGGTTCGGTGGGCCCTTATGTATAAATCAGAAGAGCGGGAACGAGTATTGCAGGAACGAACAGAGGATTTGAATTGAAGGAGCTCGGAGATGTATGAGGGACGGTGGGATTTGATGACTTGAAAGAGAAAGGATGCCAGGAAATATTTACTACGGTAGGAAGGATAAAGCCACTTTAACTCCGCATAAAAATATATTATACTGTTTGTTTTGCAATTACCGTGGCTCTACAATCCAGTGTCGAATTCTAGCCTCTTCCAACAGCTTCTGCAAATTGTCTCGGTCCCCTGCAGCAGCCATCCAATTCCGAAGCCCCACCATATTTGTTGCATCAGCAGCAACACCATCAGCCCATCGCAGCTTTAGTCTTCCTCTTCTCCTGGTACCATGGAGTGACTCTATCACTAATTGTCTTGTTGGATCCTCGTTGCCCATCCTAACGACGTGTCCTGCTCATCTCCCCTTTGTCCTGCTTATCTTGCAATTTTCATCACTCTAGCTGTATCGGACTCCTTAAACATGGTGTACAGCTCCTGGTTTTTCCTCCTTTTTCACTCTCCTCCGATGAGAACATCACAATATATGCGTCTGAGGATTCTTCTTTCAAAGACCAGGTATTCCTGTTCACAAGCCCGGGAAGTAGTCCAAGTCTCACTACCATACAGCAAGACTGGCCGCACTATCATCTTATAAAGACAAAACTTCGGTTTTCTGGTAAGAGCTCTACTCCGGAACTTCCTTGCCATTGAAAAATAGCACCGATTTGCTGCTATGATCCTAATCCGAATCTCTTGTTGAGGTGTATTGTCTTGAGTTACCAATGAGCCAAGATATACAAAAACATTAGTCTTCTCGAATTGGTACTCCCCAAAAGTCACTTCCTCTCCAGGCCTAGGCATCTCTCCCGTAACCATATATTTTGTTTTTTCGCATTGAGTCCAAGCCAAGTCTTCTCCAGACCTCCAGCCAGGAAGGAACAGCGTGCTCCTATGATATCTACATCATCCGCGTACGCAAGGAGCTTTACAGATCTATTAAAGATGTTGCCATTGGTCTGTATCCCAGCATCTCTTACTGCT